TTGAAAATTATGTCACCATATACTTGACGCTCAGCCGAAGTTAATTCATTGCTTTCACGCCTCATTCCAGCATCACAACTAAAAGAAGCTTCATGTTGATCAGAAGAAGAAGAAGATGCTGCTCCATGTTGTTCCGCTTCGGGTGTCTGCTCTTCAGGAACGGGATTAGTCGATGCAGGCGTTTCTTGAATTTGCACATTTGGTTGATCGTGGGGATTAGGCTTTAAAAAAGCATAATTTAATGGATATAATATATTAAGTAGTCATTATCATGATTAGAACATACCATATTGTCAGCAGACGTAGGATCAATGGTTTGATGAGGTACTGATTCACCGGCACCCAGCGTTCGATATGTCATGCAAGTCTGTTGGGGCCAATACTGTTGTCCACCAACCACACCAGCTGAAAGACCAGGCATGCAGGTAGTCAGTGGGTTAAGCATCAGTTGTTGGGCACCTACTGATCCTCCGAATGCATGATTTATGGGACGAAAAGAAGTAGACCGGTGACTTTGTCCTAAAATCACAGGCATAGCACCCCTAAGGTAAGGAGAAGCAGCTACGATTCTGGGATATCCTAATTGAATGTGAGATCCAGCAATGCCTTGATTCAATCGTAGATGCGGGCTCATGGATGCATTTGCCGCGTACAAAAGGTGTGAGGTGTTGGGGGGTACTCGGCCACAAACGGTTAGGGGTGCAGAGTAAATGTTGGCAAACTTTTGACGATAGTCTACTCCCTGCTGCTGTTCAGACGTGACCACTTTATCACTGTCTGAACTGGACTTGATCAAGGCAACGTACAATGGTTTCGATCCAACAAGAGAACCATTTAGTTTTGCTGCCTCTCTAGCTTCTTCCAATTTTGAGAACCCAACGTAACCGAAACCTTTTGATGTACCATCTTCATTCAACATAACTTTCGCGCCGGTAACGTTACCGTATTTACTGAAAAGCTCCTTTAAGCGGGCATCATCAATTGTATCATCAAGATTTTTAACAAAGACGCCATCTTTTGGCAATCCTTTATTCTGTCGCTCTACATATTCTTTGTGCAGAAATTCCTGACGTTCTGTCTTTGTTTGTGCTTTGCACACGTAGATCTTTAGACCGTTGATCTCTTTGTCATTCAAAGCGTCCACTGCTGCTTCAGCACTGTCAGGATTAGAGAAGCAAACGAAACCGAAGCACCTCGAATTGCCTTGATCATCCTTCATAATGCGTGCACTCGTTATTTCACCAAATTCTTCAAAGAGTTTTGTAAGGCCTTCGTCGTCCAAATCATTACTAAAGTTCTTGATGTAACAATTGGTGAATTTAGATTTTGCTTTGAGGTCTTTGCGCTCGTCTTTTGTAATGAAATTTCCTGTATAAACAATTTGGTCACTTATCATCTTTCCATTGGTTGCTTTGATAGCTCTTTTAGCGCATTCCTCATCTTCGAAATGGACGAAACCAAAGCCTTTGGAAGCACCTTCCCCATTATGGGCTATCTATACGAAAAATAAGAAAAATTGTAATTAAGCAAAGCTTACCTTGCAGGAAAGGATCTTTCCAAACTGATTGAAAGTTACGTACAAGTCCTGCTGGCTAATCACTTTGTCTAATTTTTTTATGAATATATTGCCCCTTCCAGCCTCTCGTACCGAAGGATCTGGTTCATACCACATAACACGCATCGGACGACCCATGAGTTCAGCATAATTTAGTTTCTCAAGAGCACGCTTTGCTGAAAAAATCATTTAATAATAACTCATCTTACCATCCTGGTGACTTTCGAATTTGACAACGCCGTATGCGTGGGGGGACCGACCAGTAGCATCAGGGTTCACTCGTGCACTTTCGATCCTACCGATGCTAGAAAATATTGCAAAAAGCATCGGATCTGTTACGGCTGGATGGAGATCACCGACGTAAAGTGAATTATTACAAGAATGATCGATCATGTTTTCAAACGATTCTAAAAAGTAGAGGAGGTTGTGTCTGCATATATACTATTACTAGTCGTGACCTGATGATTTCAGTCACCAATCATATTTTGATCTCATTGTTTAAACTACCCAATTAGAATCGGCCTTCTGATAACAAACCAATAGAGACGAACTGATTATTGACAAAGGTAAAAAGTTAATAGTTTACCAGTAATGGAATTTACTTCATAAATTTGTTGAGAATGGCGACAAAAGTTACTGCGAACAGCATGCAATGAGAGCTTCCAAATCAAATTTCTAAGATAACTCAATTGGCCACATTTTGCTGAATAACGACAACCAAGATTTTAATGAGAGGGAGGAGAACCAAGACCAATGAAGGAGGAACATTTCATAGAAACAAAGACATTGAAGGTCGTAACCGCCAAGATGAGATACGAAATGCAGGTGTGGTGCAAGAGTTATTTGCCAAAGTGATAGGTCTAGTAATTCTATCGATAGAGTGTCAATATTTCTATTTATTTATATGAAATGGCAGGCTTTATGATAGTTATCATTAGCCTCCTAGTTGACTTCGAGCTTCACAGAGGAGAGAAACATCAAAGACACAAAAAATCGAGGGGTGCGTTGGGGGGAGAGGGACAGAAGTGTGATTCACTGATGTAAAAGAGACAAAAATGGAGAAGAATGTATGATGAGTATGGTGGAAGTGGTGGAATATGACATACAGTGGGGTCACGGTAGTTTGACGTCAGAAATCAACTACGATTTATATGCCATTTTACCGTATTTATAGACGTTGCCCAGGGTGCAACACATGGAGTCGAGTCTATCACGCAACCCTTGTGAATCAATTTAAGATGGGTGAATTGAAACTATCTCATCGTTTTTGAAAAAAAGATGAAATCTTAATTTTTAACTAACAGTAAAATCGGTGAAGTCACAGCCTTAGTTTAATTGACCAGTGAGGAGATATCATGAATTATTTCTTTTAGGAAAAGCGAATTTTTCCAAAATTCCTATTAGCTTTAATGGACTATAGTGGTCGGTAATGTGCAGTTAACATGGTTAGAAAGCAGGAGTTATTTCAATTTCAAAATTCTATTTGTTTCGTGTCTGACATTAATAAGGAAATAGAAACTCTGTTTGCCTTAAATATAAGCAAAATGGTTACCTAGTTAGATAATTCGTGTTATCTCTGCGAGTCATAACAAATAAATTTGATGTTAAACGGTCACCTCTATACAGTCTAAACGGAACTAACACGAAAGATACATCTAGAAGCACACCGTTCCGCGGTCTTGAGTTTACGA